ATTCTCTCAAGAGATCTAACAGTATTTTGCCACCATCCAAGATCTTAATAATGGCAACCTTCCTTGGGGAGCACTCCTCCAAAAGATTTGTGGTAATTTGAAAAAATAGTATGATTGTTCTTGAGATTTGTACGGTTTGAGTGAGAAAGGTGAAATCCTGCCCAAGAGAATGCTTTCCGAAATATTTTTTAATAAGCCTTTTGTCCTTTCATAACACTTTTAAGAAGCTTATTTTGGTGGGTACTGTTTCTGCAGATCTGAGCTCAAAATATGGGTCAACCACATTTGAACAAGTTCAGATCATTTTCAATTTTCCTGAGATTTCACTGGGTTGAACCCTGGCTTTCTTGCTATCAGTCAGGTAGTACGCTTTTGAACCAGAGTTTACTATGCAAAAGTGTCGTAGTCCTGAAATAAACCTCTGCCTCTAATGGTGAGGGCTGTAAACCAACTGCTCTGCTCAGGTTCACACTGCCATGTGAGGCGTGTGCCTTAGTGGAGTGAATATCAAAAACGCTGTAAGAATTTTTTTGTCTGCGAGCATCATCTTCACAAGTTTACATTCATATTTTGTTGGAACTGTAGTTACATGAAAAAAATCCTTTATTTAGTATGCTTGAAGGTTACTATCGTACAAGTTTTTATCATAAGCCTGACAGACAAATACTGAGCCTCAAAGAAAATGGAATAATAAAGCCAAAAGTTTAGTATCAGTATGAATTTGATTTTCATTTTATGAGTGATCGTTGTTGCTGTATGCAAGCTGTTTCCAAGAACAGGATTACAAGTCTTTGCTCCACTTGCAGGTGGTAGAAATGACACTGGTGACTCAGCAGGTTGTAGGTCTGGAATTAGGGCTACTGTATTTTCGAAAAAAAGGAAGATGCACTGGCTGTGAGAGAGGAAATCTGGGGAAGGAGGGGAGATGGTCTGAGGGACTAGCAGTGCTGTGTGCACTGTTATTCTGCTTATAGCTGCCAATATGGTGGGAGTCACCCCACGGTGCCCCCATGGGGTAACTCTTCTGCTCTGGTGCTGTAGACCAGAGCACTATAGAGTTCACCAACTCCTGATTTCACTGTTGTTTCTCCCAAAGTTCTCATGGCCTCAGTTTCTCAAGCCACCAGTCCTTGGGGCACCCAGCTCCACACCCATCCCTATTCTGTGACTCAGAATACTCTTATTTTTTCATCTGAGAGCTTTCCACAGTTAATTTCTCTGTCTCCTGTCCCAAGCCCTCCTTACCATGCCTCTTTCGTCCCAATATCACAATCTTAGCCCCCTCAACTTACCAACCACTCCTTCCAGTCTCTTGTCCCCTTTCCAGCCTCACTGAGTCATCCCAGCCTCCCCACTCCAAGTTTTGTAATTCTTTTACATGTCCAGCTTGAGACCTCCTTTCTCAGGTTTGCATGAATCATGGCCTCACTTAGAGCTAATTCAAGGCTTTTAAGGGTTTTTGCCACCCCAGGCATAAGGACCAGGTGTTTACGAGAGCTGGACCAGTCCTGCTATGGGAACGGGAGAGGTAAAGATGGACCTGGGGTGCAGAACCAGTAAAAAGGTGTAGATGGCAAAGCAGGCAGCGGGCTGCCCAGCTAGTCACCTCCTTTGCCTGTGCCAGCCCTGCCTGCCCCTGCACCGCCACTCGTGCTCCCCACCCCCAGCTACCCCAGGCCCCGAACTGCTCTTTCTGCTGTGCCAGGCCCCTCTTCCTTCCTCCTCTTTCAGGGCTCTTAGAAACTTCCCTGAGTGGGATCAATTATGAGAGTCTGTGGGCAGCCAAAAGGAACTTGTCTGGGGAGAAGGGTGCGTACGGTGGTTTTAGGCTGGGTTATAGTCCTATAACTTTTTATTTCATACTAATTTTACACTGGATTTATTAAAGATATTCCAGAGTTCTTTTTTCCATCTTGCAAGCCTCTACATGCTTTGTAGATGCGTAGACCACAGTTTTAAAATTACTTTATTCTAGAGTTTGTTTTCTTCTTTAAAAAAATTTTACATCTACATTTCCAGCTCTTATGAATAGGCAAAAAGCTGTAACTTTCTGTCCACAGAGGAGGGCAAAGAAAGCAGGGTGCTCAGAGAAATATGCCCATGGTTGGGTTTTTGGTTAGGGAATTGTCTCTGGTGACAAAAGGCTGGTGACTCTGATCCAGCTCACCTGTGGTACCTATACAAAGCTCAGGAATTTTCTGAAGCTCCAGGTCCAAATATATGGAGATTCTGCACCTCTGCACTAGATCCTGTGCTCCTTGCCCGCATTATGGACACACTGGAGCCAGACTTCAAGGATGTTTATGGCAAATCATTGCACTTGAATTCCTGCAGAGGATAGTCTCCACAATTACAACATTAAATTGTTTAAGAGCTTTAATTTAAACACCAAGGGGAAAAAAAAAGAATATTTTATTTTACCCTTTTCTCAGGCATATTGCATGAGCTAAAGAATGTAAAGGGATACAGCGTAAATAACTGATTTAACATAGGAAGGGTAAAACCTACACTTATAGAGTTTTTGGTTGCGCTGTTCTTAGCGGATCTTAGTGCACTGATCTTATTTATGCATGTATCCATAGATACATACACATCTTACACCTTTACTGTATTTTTATATTCCTGAAGAGGTAGCTATGGTAAAAAAATCTGATCTGACCTTAAAATATATCTGAAAAGAAAGCAAGATGTTACCCTCAACTCTTTTCCTGTGTAGCAAACAAGCCTGACTTGAGAGGGGCCAGATTTTTTGCACGTAGTCTGTGTACAAACACATTGCACAAACAGGAGCCTGTTTAAATAAGATGCAGAAGAGGAAGGATTTCTAACAAACCTGGTCGTGTTTCAGCTACAACAGGATCAGTAACATCTGATGGTTTCCCAACACCAGCCTGGTTTGTTGCCCGCACGCGGAACACGTAGCTCACACCTTCTTTGAGGCCACCTATCTGGAGGAAGCAAACATAAGGGCATGATTTTCTACAACAAATTGACACTAATTTCACACTTCTTACAGTACCAGATTGGATGCTTGACAATTATATTTTCGTTCTCTTTTGTCTTCCTCCTTTTCCATTTGACAAATATTTCTTCCTCATGTTTTTTTAAATTCCAGAGTGACGTGACTAGTCTGTTCAGTTTGTTCCTTCCTTGTATGCGTAGTTAACATTTAGACAGTGTCCTAACTGTCATTCATTTCTTTGAAAAGGAATACTGTCATTGGAACAAGATGTTTTTATTTCATGCCTATTGACCTCTGAAACAGCATAGCCTTTTACTGCAGGTCAATTCTGATGTTTAAAAATAAAATTCTTGGGGTAAAAGTGCCAGCCACACCTATTTATAAACAGGACATTCTTTATTTAATTGTAGTGACTTGAGCAATCATACTGACATTAAATACTTGTAAATATCCATTTAAAAAGGTTTGAAAGGATCACTGCTTGAAGTGAATATCTTTCAAATGATCTGAGAAGCATGGAAATACAAACCTACTTCAAATGTATCTCTAGAACTGAGATACAGCTGATCCCTTGTTGAGAAGTCTTTGCACAAAATCATGTATCATAAGAGCGCAAGAAACCTGGTTTTAACTTGCAGTGAAAAGTGAGTAGAGGATACTTTATGTTAGAAAGAATCGTCTGCCACGTTATCACAACATTTTTTTTTTTGGACTGTGATGCCTATCTTTCAGTTTGGGCTAGAAGGAGCTAGGGATGTCTCCTATGTTACAAGAACAGTATTTGGTGTTAGCATTGCTTGCTTTTATTCTTAGGTTTGTCATGGCAGATTCTCTTCCAAGTTAGTGTCTTGTCTGACTGCACTAGCATTACATGGGTGTGTTCTAGGCACAATAGAGCCTACTAAGTGTTTAATTATAGGGAAATATGATCAAAATATGATGGCATATCTAAAACTGGCTTCCTCAAGGTTACACTGTTATACCTGCATTTGAATCTTAAACTACTGTACCTTCAGGAATCTCTTTTGAAGTGGCTTCTCATTGACACTTCTCCAGTGTTCCTCTGTTGCTTCAGTTTCCTTCATATCAACATAATAACCAGCTACAGGACTACGACCAGTATAAACTGGTTCCTTCCACAATAAAACCAAAGAGTCTTTTCTAATTTCTATGCATGTGAGATCATGGGGTGGCCCTGAAAGGCAAGAATAAAAGCTAGAGCTGCAGTTACTAAATAAAGCCCAAAGGGGCTAATGCGTAATGCTTCAAAAATCCAAACCAAACACCACGTTTTATGCTCAGAGCTGATATAACAGGTGCGGTTCTGTTGTATCAGATCTACACCAGATATAAATACAACCCATAATTATTAAAAAGACTAGCCCAACAAATAATCCAATTTTTTGAGATTTGGTATCTTGATCAAATACTCATGAACAAACAAAAATGGCAAATAATCTCCAAAGTCAGAGAGAGAAGTTAATTATTAAGCTAACTTTTTGCTTCAAGGCCTGTTCTAAAGTCCACTGAAGTCAATGGAAGTTGCTTTTAGTAATTTCGATAAGTGTTAAAAGGTCAGTGATCTCGCCATTCAGTGATATGTCTAGACAAGGGTTACAGGGCCTCATTTCTCTCTTGTGTGTACCTTAGACATGTCTGCCATTTAAACTGGGAAACACAGTGGCAGACGCAGTACAGAAACCAAGCACGAAAGATAAAGAAAACACAAGCTGTTTGTAAAATGCTACCAGTTAAATGAGGACTGTTTAACGCATCTGTATAAATGTACTAAATCACAGCAACAGAGATTCAAGCCTGGGTGTGAACTTTAGCACCCATTGATTCCTGGAAATTGAGAACATTGAGAACTTAAAGTTTTGGCCACAGGGCACCCTGTGGCTGTGAGTAATCACATCCCTCTCAGGATCCTACCTGGTACAGCAATGGTCCATTCTTCACATTTGAAGGATTTACTGGGTAGGGAGGGTGTCCCAACCCCAGCCAGGTTAGCAGCAGCAACTTGAAACTGGTACACCATGTTTTCCTTCAGATTTTGAATCTGTGCAATCAACAAAATGGTACTTATTAACTTTGGATTAAAGCTTTGGGAGGAAGCCACAATGCCAATCATTCAAAATATGAGCATGCTTTTAAATATACAGAAAAATGAAATCTTTATCAAAATCATATACAAACTGTTAACTATCTTGGCTTCCCCTCTAATCAGTGGTAGAGCATACATGAATTTTCTTAGCATGCTCAAATTGTAAAACACTTTTCTTACTGATAGACACTTGGGTAGTCAGGAAGGAAGCAGACTATTGCTAAACAACAATTGTAGGAATCCGTCTCGTGATCCAAAGCAAGCTGGCTTAAGGCAAGAGTTGTCCTTGCAGTAGGGTGAAAAACTTAGCAGTCCTTGCATTGCTTTTGTACAACAGCTCCATTAAGTTGTAGCAGGTACTGTACCTCTAAATTGGGTCAAGAATTAATCAGAGAACGCAGCTGCCACAGACCTGGTTACAGCACCAGTGAGCACTGCAGCTAAGTCCACCAAGCCTAGTAGCAATGCCGTTAGTTGCGAGGGCCTGATTAAGGAAAATTCAGGCTATGCATAGAGGAAAGAATTCACAGATGATGGCTGGTTATCTAAACTAATAGATAAGTTCACAAATAATGTAGCACCGAAGTTTAACTGGGTTTAACAAAAATTCAATAGAGAATAGAGGGGTGTAGGGATGATAAATATGTTCACCAGGAGGATTTATGTATTACAGAAGGGAAGCAAAGGGCCAGACATTGCATTAAACCTATGCACAACTCCTCAGCATCCTCTAAATAGGAATGAGTACTTTTCATCACTTTGAGACATAAACATTAACAAAGCAAGTAGAACAACATAGTATTTCACGGCAGTACAGAATTTGTGTAGCCCCAGAAGCTGCAGTTTACATAATGTGTTAACCAAAAGGTTTCTGAGGTCTCAGATATTAGTGTAATAATGTCTGTCACTTATAGCAAAGATTCTTAAAAAAAAATCCCAGAATGAAAAATACCTTTAGTGTGATTCTTAATATAATTATGGTATTTGTCTGTGAGAAGACATAGCAGAAATATTTGCTGTAGATATAAAACTCTCTGAACAGTAATCTGTAAACTGAATTATAACTCATCCTACTCTGTCTTTGAGATCTGATTTGGAAATATTGTTTGCATAGTTCTAATACACCCAAAGCAATAACAAAAATTAACTTCTCACCCTGTATGCCCTCTCACTAATGGGCTTAATGTTGGCCTCCATCCATTTCCCAGGAACTCCACCAATTACTTCACGATAGTTCACATAGTAGCCAGTAATTTCAGTTCCACCAGTGACTTTAGGCTGTTTCCATCCCAGTACCATTGAGTCACGAACACTCTCAAGTACCATTATGTCATAAGGAGGAGATGGAGCAGCTGTTTCAACATGAATAATACATAATTAGGAAGTAATATTTCATTAGTAAGACAGGCATTTGATTGTCGTATTCAGGTGGTCCCATCCTGCATTTCCTGTCAGGAAAACGTCTCAGTGTGGTCAAGGAAATTTTTGCTGGAATAAGAAATGCAGGATAAAAGATTCTGTAAACCAAATAGAAAAATCCAAACTACATTGGATTTAATTTTCAAGATCATTTGTCTTTTGAGAAGCAAGCTGATACACAGTGAAAACATGTGTTGCAATTGCAGTGCTCATGTAAGTGATCAGGATTTACTTTAAAACCGTGAAAAATGAGGAACTAAAACTAACGTTACAAGAAAAGTCAAAAATTGGTGATGCAATGATTTGTTTTCTTCAGCTGAAAGCAAACTCTTTTTTACACATACAATTTTTGCTTTAGTCCCACATTCTTTATAGGCCCACATTCTTCCTTTCCCAGAATGCGGGTTATCTGCTCATTCTTCTTTTTTCTTTTTCTTTTTTTAATTTATGTACTGTGCAAACATTATCATTGCACCCTTCATATAATCTTACCTTAATGGAAGCAAGCATGATCACAGCCACTGTAGACTGATCAGAAATGGAATATGTCTGTTACTGGAACTTACTTTAGAAAATTTGCAGTATAATTCTCCTTTTTATTATATTTTAACAATACAGAATACATGAACTTCATCCCAAGAACTACACCCATTTTCTTCTAATGCCACTTCTATATCTAGTGGGGAAACATTATGCTCAATATGTCATGTGCCAGTTAGTTAAAAAGAGCCCTACTTAGGACCGTGAAGTCCTGTTTTTGATGGAAATCTTACATCATATATGTTTCCTTTTGTCTTTATTGTTTTATCTTAGTGTTAGCTGGTCCCAGGTGCCTGCAGTTTGTTTACTGTTCAGTGTTTTGCTCAAGCTTTTTGACTCTCACTTTAGAAGCCTGGGGAGGAATTTAGTTCACAAGCCAGGTACCAGGACTTAAATGAAACCTAAGCTCCATATTTCTTAGGCATGATGGGTGTTAAGGTGTTGACAACGTGAAACATACATAGTTTTTTGCATGTGCCTTCAACTTGATCGGTTTTCCTCATTACATATTACTGTCAAGTCAGAGATACAACACAATTCACTAGCACTGCATCTTAGAGGGTAAGCTGTGGCCTAAGCGTAAATCTACAAAGGATCTTCTTGTATCTTAACACAACAGAGATTTTCATGCTTACCATCATAATCAGATTTTGTTACCTTCACATATACGTAATACAGAGAGTAAGTAACAGAGAACAAACTACTGAAGTGATTTGGAAATCATACATTATTTTGGATACATTAATACGTAATTAAACAAGCTGTTAAATTGGTAAAAGGATGTATATGTTTCACATACCTACTGGCTGTTGACAGTGAAACGTTCTCTGATACCATTACATGTGTAATGATCTCAGTGGAGAGCTGAGCGTGTAATTAATGGGTCTGATGGAAGATAAATCATCGGAGAAAATGTTCACTTGCGACATGGATGAGCACAGGCTACATATGTCTGAAGCAAATGCACCAAAGCAGTGACTTCTATTTATTTTAGTAATGCTCACCTATATTTTTCTTCTCTTTCACCTTTTCCAGTGTCAAAGCATCCCCGGGTTGAGACTTACTTGCCTGCTTAGCAGCAACTTTTTGTGGTGCAGATGTGGTAGCATCCTTAACCATTTCTCTCATGTTATTGTTTCCTGCATTCCTCAGTTTGTCAGAGCTACTGGGTAGTGTGTCTCTATTAAATTTAGCATTGCATTTTAGCAAAGCATCTGTGTCAAAGATAGGCTGGGAGGACTCATGCATGCCTTCCCAACTGGTAGTGCGGTCTGTTAGTCCACCAGCTTTACCACTCAGTTCAGGACACACACCATGAAGCAATCCTCCCCCTATAATTGCCAGAAAACAGCAAAGACGTTGAATTAGAAGGCATTCCTTTTTCTCCATTTATTCAACAGAATGAAGAAATGCACGCAATGAACAATACAGGCAAAATAAAACAAATCACATTTGTTATGGACAGAATGCTAAGCTTGGATTCGCAAACATTTGAAATGCATAGAATACCTCTCAACCTCCTCACAGGTAATGCTCTTTTAACATTATCTGTTTTTCAGAGCAGAAAATATATGGAAAATTAACTGCAATCTTCACTTGGTACATTTATTTTAGCATTAGATCTTCTGGGTTGTATTTATGATCCTTTGAAAGCGATATCACAAAATTGCCTTCGGGCCACATCTTTCTGCTCTAAGGTTGTGAGGTATGCGAGTTTGATACAAAGAAGAGTGAGGGTGTTGCAGACATACAATTTGTTCTAGTGCAATGATCTCATTAATCTTATGGATTAGTTCAGGCAGTGGCAAACGGAAATAATTCGTCAACAAAGGGAGAACACACTGAGTTACAAAAAGTTTACCAAAAAGAAAAAAAACATTACAGCATGTATTATTAGGTTGAGGTATGGAAACAGAGCTCTTAGGAATTGCCTTGATATAGAATGGTGCGTATTAGAGATGATAAATACCACATTATGGAATCAGAATGGCATTCCATTTTCCAGGGTAACTGTGAAGGGACCTCGGCAGTGCTCTCTTACAGTGGTTCACAAGAAACACCTGAAGAAGTCTGGATGGTGAAGGTGAACAGTCTACAAAAGTGCAGTGACTGTGAAAGTACGGCTGTGAGGCATTACGTATGATCTGTGGGTAAATCCTTATTTGTGAACAACATTGTGAAACCAAACAATTAGCTACAAATAGTTGCTAAAAACATCTTTACTGTAAAAAAACATATTCAGCACTGAACAGAGCAAGGGGAAATCGCTTACCAATGGCTGCTTGCACTTCTATAGGCTCTGATTCCTGTGAAAATTCACTGAGTCCGGCTGCATTAACAGCTCTGACTCTGAAAACGTACTTCTCACCAGTGACAAGGCCATGGCAAATGAATCTAAAAGAAATCAGTGAAAGAATATGTAGAAAATATTACAAAGAAAATAAAAATCTTAAGGAAAAAAAGCATTTATTCCATAAAATTTCTCCTAGTTTCTGAAAGTTGAGGGTGAAACATAATACCAGCACTCAAATGATGGTCAGAGAATGCAGGATGTTCCTAAGCCCTTCATTCATGCAGAGAAGATAATGCCTAAAACCATGTCTCCTTAGGCATACACTTTTTCACCCATATCCATTTCCTATTAAGACTATTGTAGTTCATGTGTTCTTAGTGAATCTATCTTACTTCTGCTCAGTGCTGGAATACAAAATTCAAACTTCCTAGTAGAAACAATGCAAAAATCTGCAGAGATAACATATATTTGCCTGTGAGACACCTTCATGACACAAGTAAAAGGTACCTGGTTAGCACACAACATTAACTTTCAATCATAAATGAAAAATTACAATGTTCACAAAAATTATAGTGCATGGAAAGCAGCAAAAAAGTGTTACATTTTTAACTTCACTTTCTTTTTTATACACCTGACTCCATAATCTGAGTCAGTCAAATTCTTTTATCAGACTAGTTTTTCTGTGGGATAACATTATGATTACACAAAAAAAATCATTAATTTTCTCCAGTGCCCACATGAGAACACAAAATTTCCTAAGACAAAAAACACTTATTTTTGGAAGATTTTTATTTTGTAAATTTTAAGATTTCATTTCAAAAAAGAATTTAATCTTCAATATGCATTTTGAATGCATTTTATTTCATATTACTTTTACTTTGCCCTATTTTATAATATCATATCCTGTACTACCAATGCTAACATCATGCATTGATGTACAAAGCAAAAATAAAATGGAAAACATAAAATATATTTCAAAAGCATTTTTTTGGAAAAAAAATAAAATCCTGAAACAAAATTTTTGGAGCAGAATTTTCATTGGCCATGCTACCAGACTTTTGCAAAACATTTGCTTTTTCCTGAGTGTGTACAGAAAACAAACTTCAAAATATCAAAATTTACTCCTTAATGGACACTATGAGCTACAGCTAATGCTTTGATTGATTCAATCAGAAAAACTGATAATTAACAGACAGCCTCTACGTGCCTGTATCATACATTTTATCCCAGAGATAAAAAATGTGGTAATAGGAACCTACGCAAGGTAGTTACATAATGATAGACGGCAATTCAGAGCAATATTTTTTGTTTCTAGGGTGATTAAAGATCATGTTTTCACGTCTTGAAATAACCACAGACCACTAAACTCCACCAACATTTTATTTAACCACAGTATAAATCAGGGAAGTATATATGAAAGTATTTAATAGTGTAAAATACAGCACCTGCAATTATATGTACAAAAGAAGACTTAAATGGAATTGTCCTGGGTTTGTTCAAGAGAGTGGGTTTTTTTAGGTGCTCTTGATACTTTCAGCATTTCATATGCACTTCTAAACAACAGAGTTGGAAATATTTAGCAGAGATAGATTTGTTGTAATAAGAGCTATCATGGCTAACAATTACAAATAACCCTACCCAGTCATAACAAACAAGGGGTGCTTCTGGACTGACATCAGTACACATGGGTTCCAGTTCTGCAGTTATTCCTTCACACTCTAAATCTGAAATCGTTACTCAAAGAAAACCCTCATTTGCCCATATCTGATTTAGCTTGCAAAGGTTTACATCTGGATTAATTTTTCTGAGTAGAGAATAAATTTCATTTTAGTAAGAAAAGTGAGTTCATATGCAATATTTAAGAGTGTTCATTAATATCGTTATAATTGCAAGTGAAGGAGTAGTTAGCAAATAAGATTGTTAGAATCATATCATCCAAATTTCCTCCTGACGTTTTGAATATACAGTCCCAGAAGTGTTTACAACAGTCTTCCAGCTGAAGGACTTTGCTTCCAAACATTATGCAGTTTAGTTTTACACATTTTAAGTTCACTCATTCCTCATTGTACTGTTTTTCATCAAACTGATAGGCTGTACAATAGCTAGGACTAGTGAACTGTTTCTCTTTTCTTTCCTGCCGATGTCCACATTTTTTCCGCACTGACTAATTGTTTTTTAATATAAGGCTGAATATAAATTCCTTTTGGACAAGAAGCGCATTTTAAAATATGTTTTTATAGCAACTTAGGAAATTCACCTTGTAAGAGTGATTCCAGCCTTTTGGCTATCACAGAGTAATTACTACTACTGCTACTACTGCTACTACTACTACTACTACTACTACTACTGCTGCTGCTGCTGCTAGTGGCCGGAAAGCACATAAACCAGTAAATCATAAAGCCTGCGACCATAATTTGCATGCTTTTGAATCCATTACCTTGTGCCTTTCACTGGATTGTTGTTGCATGGTTCCCAACGACCAGATCCAACCACACTGGACTCAATGTAGTACCCAACCAGCTCCTTGGCATCTGGGGGTTCTGTCCAAGTGACAACAACTGAGGTGTCTGTATTCCTAGTTGGCATAATACGGCCAGGAGCTTTGGGAATATCTGGGGAGGGAAATAGAATTAAATTAATGACCAATCAGTCAAAATTTACAAATAAAAAAAAAAGGATGATGTATTACTCTTGATTGTATTAGCACTATCAATACTCTTTTAACTCCAAGGAACTCTACTGATCTCATGCTTCCTGATTTATACAAAATTCAACTCTTAAGTTTATAAACTTTTTGCTGGTTATATCTATATCACTAAGCAAGCTGGCACAATAGGGTGGGATCAGTAGATTCAAGCTTTTTTCGGCGCTAAGGTTCCTTGCATCTCCACTGCATGTGTTCAGGGCACTGCATGCACATCAAACTATTCTGAGAACTCAGTCAGTATGAAGCAAACAGAGACAATCCAGGCATTTGGTTCAAATCTGCATCACTGTTCTGAAACAAATTGCTAATGTAAACACAGCTACTGATGCTTTCTTTTGGTGAATATATTGGATTTTCTTCCAATAGAAATACTCTCTGCATCGACATAAATCTTAAATTCTTTACTTTTGTTTAAATTGGCAAACAAAGAAGATTAAACTCTGAGACGTCTGGGGCTTATTTTCAGTAAAGACTCAAAGTAAAACAAAACATTTTTGTACTTCCTCGAGTTTTCATTTTCTTTCATTATTTGCTGCCCTTGCAGTTCTTGGCATCATTATTTGCAGCTTAGTTTCCTTGGTTTGCATCTGTCATTTGACTATACATTAAAGGTTCAACAACCCAAACCAACATTATCTTAATTAAAAGGAATAAATCATCAACTACTCTTCATACTTGAATTAGTTATTGGACAGCTGTATGTCTTCAGATAGAACAACTACATCATAAACTGAAAAGATACCATGGAGGTTAATTTAATACATATGACCACACACTTACCAAGTTTGTCATCCACCACAGTAGCTTCAGTTGCTTCTGAAGGCTCACCAATTCCAGCTGAATTGCAACAGCGAACCCGGAAGCAATAGGATTTGCCTTCAGCCAAATCAAAAACTGCAAAGCGAGGAGACTTGACAGGAATCTCTGTGTTCACTCTTTGCCAGTTCTCTGTGCCAGCAACACACTGCAATCAAACCCAGAAACTGCCTTTGGAACAAAACTCTTTGAAAGACAGAGTGAAGCTGAGGATCTAACCTGTCCAGGATTTCTACCTGGACCACCAAACGTATGTCTGCTTTGGAGAGCAGGGAGTCACATTCCTTGTTGTGGCTGCTCCACAGAAGGAGTGGATTTCAAAGCTTACGATTCTACCAGATGACCACCTACTCCAGAAAACATACATACCAAGCTTACTCTTTTTTAATGTACCAAAGCTAAACCCCTTTCCACACCTAGGTGTGCTGTTGTTTTTACCATATCCAGTTCTGAACTGTACCCTAGGACCACTTGCAAAAGAAGTTCTGCAGACAATCAACATCATCCATAGAACAAAGCTCTAACATCACCACATTGCTTCTAGATGCTCTCGTGCCACTCCTGAGAATCCTTTTTCCAAAATTAGTAAGGATCTGGCCTTCATTTTCCAGAAAAAAAAAAGAAAAGGAAGTGCATTTAATTTATGGATTGTATTTATTCCTGTGTCTAGAAGTTCTGCATACGATGGTCACTTAAACTGTTAAGATGCATGATGGATTTTTGTCTACGTGTTTTATGTTAAAGATAATTTCAAATAAAAGGTCCTTGTTTCAGAGGGAGTTCAATTTCTCATGAAAACATCTGAATATGTGACAGTGGTGCTGAGTATTCAGCATGCAATAGGTTATTAAAAAGCTTTCTTATATGGAAACTCAACATTCATATATTCATCCTCTCTGAGTCTGTTGCTAAGTAAAACTCATTTATTTAGATCAGATCTCACAAGACAAATGAAAAATATGCAATGTTAAGATATTTATGTCTCCCAGGATGACAGGTCTAGGCTGATAGGGAAAAGTTTGATATGAAAGTTTGTGGGAGCCATGGCATACTAGTAAAAAGGGTGGTAGTGAAGAACACTCTAGACCAGCAGCCATATGAAGAAGGCTCAGAAAAGCAGGACACTGAAATCAAAACTGATTATATTCTAGAAAATAACTTTAGTGTTGGCTTTGCTGAGTTGATGAAGGAAATGCAGTGGAGGATATATATGAACAGGCAGCTCAAAAAGAAAGAGTTGATGCCAAGAAACTCTCTGGAAGAATGCCTCCATCCAAAATGTTAGCAGTCTGTCCCACAAGATAAGCTTCATTTATTCAAATGATGTATACAACTGTGACTTTGCCCTGCTCTTTCTCATCGCTGAGTTTGTCAATCTAGTTACCCGATGGCAGGCCTATGACACAATTCAAGAAAGGATATTAGTGTGTGAGACACATTCTGCAACCACTTTCACACTTCCCTTCTTTCTTTTCTTCCTAGTTCATCATGATCTAAAGTAACATGCATCTTGATGAAGTGTACAAGTTTTAGTCTTAGCCCTAGTTTGAAAGTCTCATCCAGATATGAACTTTTGCTTAAGAAAGGCTGGAGGAGATGGTAAAACAAATGTTAAAGATTGTCGTTACGTGATTACGATTTTCTTTGATGTTACCTTTTCCACAAAGTACATAATACCCTCATGGCCCCGCTGTCCAGGAGGTTTCCAGCTAAGCACAACATAGTTCTTGGTGGCTTCAATAACTTGGAGGTCTGTAGGTGGACCAGGAACAACGCCCTCTGAAGAACAGGGGAAAACAGTAGGAAAGGGGCTGGATTTTAATTCCTTCATATTTGCGTCAGAATTAGTCCTATAATTTCATTGTAATTAAAGCATAGAACAACTATTCATATGCCTTGGCATCTGTTTTTTTGTTTTTGGCTTTTATTTAGTGGTAGAATCATGTCAATACTGGGTTTAAATGTCTTTGTTTTAACTGTTTGCTTTTTTGGTCCTGAATAGTGAAACATCACCTTGACAACTAAATTTGGAGCTGTTAAAGGTCAAGTGACTCTACGAACAACGAAGTTTGAGTATGTGCCAAAGCCCACTGAATTCACTAAGAGTTTTCTTATTTTTTTCACATCAGCTTCACATCAGATCTTTGCAGGCAAAGGGCTGTGTTTACCTGCAGGTTCTTCCTCAGTAACAATAATCTGTCCGGTCCAGGGAGCCGAAGGGTGACCTGAAACAGACGTCAGACACATCACAGAAATGAGAGACATCAGGAACGGTTCAAGTCAGTAAAAAACTGACTCTTTTGTGGTTCAAAACTGACATTTTCAGGACTGACACGAGCTCCATTTTCGGTTTCTGCTGTGACTGTTGCTCATGTAAAAATACCCAGGCTAGTTTTAGGCTGACTAGGTTGAATATTGAGAACAGTTCAGCCATCAATATAGCTAGAAAAATTTGATCCATTGAGATACATATTCCTTGCTGAAATGTCACTGAAATCACTTATGTCACAGACACAAGTATTTGGCTTACTCAGTTTATGATTTTTAGAAAATCAATTTAAACGTTATTTTCTGTACTCTATTAATGTTTAACAGCTCACTCATTAGAGGAATTGCCAAATTCCTGCAGGCTGCTCTTTGCCTCCGTTTTATCCCAGTTTCCCTCACATTGCCGGTTTTCAAAACACGGGTCACAGTCACAAACAGAAACTACTCACCATGACTCAACATATCATATCGACTTGATATGATTCAGGTGGCCCTCTGAGAGCGCCCTACGTAATTAGGATGTAAAATCTCAGAAGTATCACAGTTCCGTACTGAGCTATTAACCAGGTCAGTGCACTTTCAGAGATAATATTTTGCAACTGCTGTTCTCCTCCTCCACATGCTTGCACCTTGCGTTGGCTGATCTGTTTATTATAAGCACTAACAGAGAGGGAGCAGGTGTGGAGAAAAGCAGGTCATGAGGCAGAAGAGGAGGATATACGAATGGGAATAGGCCACCAAGATCAGGCTCCCTCTTCCGAGACCCCTTCCACACTTCCCACTTCATAGAAAAGGCCTCTCCCAGCCATCACCTTTCACATGTCTATCTGAGCAGTGTTTCCTGCCACTGCCAAGCCTCCTCCCTCTGGCTCTTCCTTTTTATTTTGAATGGGAACCTTGATCGTCTGACTGCGGTGCATAGCTTCAAGTATTATATATGGTACAACACACAAGCTGTGACTGTGGGAGCCCTGGGGCTTTGCGTGCAGCTTAAGCAAAGGACAGCTGACTGTTTTAAACTGTCAAACTGCAGAACTGAGCAGAAATAATTAGTTTTGAGACATATGTTTTTGGCATATGAGTAGACAGGGATTGCGAAGCAACTTTTTAGTTAAAATTCTCACCAAAGTTTTTTGCCTAGGACGTTGTCAGGCCACGGGAAAAAAAGTCCTTGGCTTGCAAAATGTTAACTTGAAAGCAGAGAGCTTGGGATCGCTTCTCTGTTGGACTACCCCAGCATTTTACAGTTTATTGCAAGGCTCGGCTCGTCGCACGAGGACAGAATCAGCCACCCTTGTCTGTGGCACAGAGAGAAGTTGTTCACAGACTCTGCTCAGCTGTTTTGCTGCTTGAACCAAAGCAACTCTCTTCAGGCAATTTACTCCCCTGTGCCTTTCCCTGTCTTCCTGCAAGCGCCGAGTGCACCACTGCAGTCAGCAAAAGCCAATTTGGGCAGTAGAGCGCTTTGTGCAAAGAGCAGCGAGATGATTTCTTCTTGGCAAACCCATCTCCAAAGATTATTTTGTTTTGGTATTGCTCCCTCTAGTGGGATTTCGATGGCTTGTGAGTAAACAGTCACACATCTTTCCACCAGTCACAATTTCTCAAACCTTTCAGGCAACAAGTACCAAAAAAAAAAAAATCCCTTACTTCTAAGCCTAGCTCTGTCAGCAGGATCCAGTGCAGCCACAGGCTCTGACACTCGGGACGGTAGACTAATGCCAGCTTTGTTCACAGCTCGGACTCGGAAAATATAGGAGCGGCCTTCAATCAAGCCAGTGACAGGAAAACGAGCAAACTTCACTGGAGTCTCATTGCACTGGGTCCAGTGGGTGGTGCCAACCTCACATCTGAAAAATACAAACGGCAAGAGTAGCCCTGGGAAGGAAAAAAAGCAAACTCAGGGTACCTCTCCCTTACAGTTTCACCATCTGTTCACGTTCGTTGGCTTGATCATACCAGTTTCCGCGGCAGCGTTGTATACTGGTGACACCAAAGCAGCTGCGTGAAGGGGTCAGGGCTGAAGTACAATCTGGGAATGCGCTAAATCCCTTGCAGCTGAGCTCCTTCTTGCCTGAACTGAGGAAGAAACCTAAAGCTATTCATGAGCCGAACTCACTTCACTGTTTAAACCCTTCAAAGTATGCTCCAGGATGTTTAGGGAGCATTGGCTTTAGCACACTTCAAGGGACATGAAATACATATAGCCGTTGCAATTTCCAGAAGCCAACTAGATTATCTTACATGCACAGCACTCAGTGGGCTGCTTTGCTGTACATCCAGCAAAATAATAAGCTTCACGGGGCATAGAAACCTCTGTTGTGAGTTCTGTGGCCAACCCAACACCTAGACGGTCGTGCATATGGCTAAAGCGGGGCACTTGGCCAGAATCTACCTCAAATGCCAATTGGGCTGCTCAGGGAAACTGTGATGTGCCCACAAACACTGCAGAAGTGGGGTCAGAGGTGTCCCGCTGCTGATAAACCTCACACATGGCAAGAGGCTGATTTTTGGCTGGAGGACGAGAATGCCAGAATCAGTGACAGCAGAGACTTTGGCTTGGAGAAGCAGAAGGAGCTATTGTAGGTGGCTTCCCAGTGTCTAGCAACTTGGTCAACAGGAATACGAAGCAGTAGCTCAGGAAAGACTTTTCATTGCTTCTAAGATATCTACTGAAGTGAATGTTGCAGCGTCTACCTAGATTTCTTTGTACATCTTAGCCTTCATTTTCTGAGAAATGTTATTATCTCACTCAGAGTGGCTTTGTGGTTCAGATACCTGCTGGGACTAAAGATGCCTGAATTTTGGTTCTAGCTTTAGCAGACTCTATGTACCACTTTGAGCAACTCAGTCACACTCCTAGGCAGTTAGATGCTAGCCTAGCTGAAAACTTGAGTGCCTAAATATCTTTAGTAGTATTTGATCTTTTTTATGTTCTTTAATGCATTTCTTCTTTGCAATGCTCTCCGAGAAGAGTAAGTGCTACCAATAGCATTTTCTCAGTAACTGATGCATAGATAGAATTTGAGATTTGCCAGAGGCCATGTGGGAAAATTTGTAATAGCCCAGGGACTAGTCTCTTACTAGCATCTTGAGTCTTACACTAGAAAGCATACTGGGTTTGGTAGGTATTGCAGTTCAAACAATACAAAAGTTGTGTTCAGTACCGTAGAAACAAAGAGAGAGATGGGCTTTGCTCCAAAGAGCCCACAAGAGAAGCTGTTGTTGCTGCAGTGAAGAATATGACAAATACGTATTCTAAGGAGGAAAGTAACCTTGGTCTTGTGGGGAAATATGCACCACATGCCAGATTTGTATCAGTGTATTAACGGGACAGAAAATGTGGATATGATTCTGGGCAGTTAATACCAAACGACAGCAACAGATCTGTGCTTGTGTAACATGCTAGAGAGCAGTAATGAAGCTTTGAATTTAGGGGCAAGCATAGACTAAAGGATGAGAACATGGGAGAACAGGCAGAATGCCATTTATCTCGCAGTTACTTTCAGTGCTAACATCCCTCAACAGCCTAGTTTTAAAATGGGATATTATTTTTGGGTCTAGTTCTGTTGTCTGTTTATAATAAAGTATTATTTTACTGAAATTGAAACAAGTATTACCAGCTCTCAAAATTTCACTGTGAGTCTCAAGATACTGACTGAATTTCTTAAGTCCTCAGCTTCTGGAATCCTACCTTTGTGTGACATCTTCAATTTTCATATTTATAAAATTTATTTCCCATTTTTATTGTGGCAAAGAAAAACATATAAATGTGATCTGAGCGAAGCTTGTGAAACTAAGAGCTCAAAAAACAACAGTATATAAAAAGAATCCAACTCCCTCTGAGATAATATTTTGCTTCCTGGTGCATGGTAAGCATGTGGGAAGATGAGAGGTAGCACTGGTACAGAAAGAACCACAGGCTGCTGATGAAGAACCACAGGCTGCTGATCCTGTACCAAACGCTGCAAAGTCCCAAGGCCCCTCAAGCCTCAAAGAAATCAGTCAGAGCTGAGCTACTAAGCATCTCACAAAACCGTTTCTGTATAGGTAAATGAAGCAGTAATAATTACTTCAGTGAAAGTTAGATCAGGCCCAGCCAGAATCTAAAACAAACAAACAAAAAAATGTCTCTGACAATAAGAACAAAAATAACAAGTATTTTATCTTATGTTTTCAAATGTGTCGTTAGGTTTTGGATTTCCAGTGCTCAGCAATATGAATTTTCCAACTTGGCATGCTCACTGACCTATCGATGAAATATCCAAGGATGGGACTTCCTCCACCAACAGCTGGCTGCTTCCAGGAAACAATGACATAATCTTTGTTGGCATCTAAGCACTGCACATCCAGTGGTGCGCCAGGGGCACCGGGGATTTCAGCATCAGCATCTATCAGGATGGAGACATGCATTTCCAAATGTGAACCACAGTTCTTTCACAGTTACTCTTTAAGGACAAAACTCTGTTCCTACTGAGCCAAAAAAGCTTCTAGCTTCAGAAAGCATTTGGTTTTATATCATCAATATTTTCCTAGGTTTTTTTTTTCTTCTCAACATTAACAAATGCTTAATATGTTACAGTAATGTAATTGATCTAGGCATTTGAAAAAAAATCAGAAACATGCATTTTAATTAGGTAGCAGCTGAAGTAAAAACTTGGCAGATGATCTATCTACCTTATTCTAGTTAGAATAGGTTGACATTTTGCTTTGTGGCAATAGCTCAGTCAAAATTATTTGATCATTGGATATACAACACTGACTTCAAGAAATGCATTTCGCTTTTGTCATCTAACTGCCATATACTTCCATCTGACTATACAGAGAGAGCTGAGAGTCTAAACCTCTGCTTCTCAACTCCCCTCTACCCCTTTTTTTAAACAAGGGCATCCTCTGAAAGGACCAAGTTTGTTAAACTGCTGTCTGCTGGATACTCAGCAACAGAACAAAGAAAATATCAATCTAAACAAGTGGTCTGAATCTAAACTGAGATGAATTGATAGATGGAGTCCACAGTGAATCTGAATTTTCAATCAGGCTAGATTTGGGTTGCTATTAGAAAATTCTGAATAGTGTTTTACTCAGAAAGTGAATTAAATGGGTATTCCATATCTTCCTTATCTGCACAATCGTTTATTGTTTGTTTTTGGTTAGATATGAACCAAAAAGATAACAAAACCATTTGAAATTTAATGATATTAAGCACATATTATCATTTTAGAATATAAATTACATAGGGATAAACATATTCTTCCATTCAAAAACATTCATTGCAAATCTGGGGCCCCTGGTATCAAAGGGCCTTGACTCCAGCATCCGCTTCTGGCCAAGTCTTATCTAAAACTGTAAAAAACAGAGCATAGTGCTGGACACAGGGGAATGATATTGTTAACATCGTCAGGCT